TGAGGGGATGGCGGGGGGCTCTGAGGGAATGAAGGGCTCTGTGAGGGGATGGTGGGGGGGCTCTGTGAGGGGATGGTGGGGAGCTCCTGTGAGGGGATGGGGGGGAGCTCTGTGAGGGGACGGTGGGGAGCTCTGTGATAGGAGCCCATGCTGGAGTGGGCTGGGCACCCACACTGGGGGCGTGAGGGGATGGGGTGGGATGAAAGGATGAAGGTGAACTGAGGTAAGGGCAGGGGTAGAATGAACACCTGGTAGGTTTCGCCTTTGTTTTTCACCATCATCCAAATCCTTTTTGATTAGCAATAAATTAATTTTCTCCAAGCCAAGCCCCTCTGGTCTGTTGTTATTTCCCTGTCATTACCTCACCCCATGAGCTTCTTCACTTCTTCACTTTATGGTCTCTCCCTACCCCGTGAAGAGAGGAGGAACTTCCAGTCTCTAAAATTCCTTCTTCACTCTACTTGATTTACTCTCTAGCTCCTATTATAGATTTCTGTTTTTCCCAGTAGCTCACTTTATCCAAGCACAGCCATGTTCCCATGTGCATTAGCCACTCCTATTTCCCAGGACCAAAACATGTTCATGCCACTTGCTATATTCAACTGTAGCAGGCAAAGGCTTTCTGCACAATAAATTCAGCTCATTTTAAGAAAGCACACAACTGGAATATGCAATGTGGTGTGAGAAAGTACACAACTGGAATACACAATATGGTCCATTAAGAGCAAAACCAATACATGCTGCTGAAATCTTACAACATTCAGAAACATAAAAGTCGCAAAGATCTTGTTTTGCTTTGCACAGCGAAGTTAAATCTCCATACAGAAAAAGAAGTATTTTTTAGATTAAGTGTTTTGCAGTTTTTTTTTACAGTTTTTCAGCACATGAAAATACAGGAGGCCTGGAACAGTCACAGTAACATTCACTTCTTTCAAGTTTGTGCTTTCTCCTCACAATCACCTCTCTGTTTACTTTAACCTTTTTAAAAGCCAAGATTACAAGTGTAGAAAGAAGTGTATACTCACTGTAGTACTGGCAAATCTGAAGTAATCATTTTTGCAGGACTCTTGGAAGTAAGAGCTACATAGAACTCCTTCTCAAAGTTATTATAAGACAACTACTTGGAAACCTCTTTCATGAAAAGAACGTCAAAGTCCAGTCTGTAAGAGAGAGAAAAAAAATTTTAGATGTGACTCTGAAATATAATACATTGAATAAAACATGAGGTCAACAAAAAAGGTCAATTTTAAAGTAGCATCACTATTAAACCACAAGAATTTTAGAATGGATGACCCTGAAACAGCTTAATCATATTCTTGCATTCGGCTTTTACATTTCTGTTTAGGTAACTTTGTGCAATTAAATAAAAATTTAAAAATAAATGTTCTGCATTACATCCTGTACTTGTTTACTAATGTATGTGTGTTTAAATGACACTACACCTACTTAATCAGACCCTATGGCTTACAGCTTTATGTGACTGAATTTCACAGAATAGTCAGAAGCTGTGCAAGAGTCTAACTGCAGCAGAAGGTATTTTAACTTAATGAAACTGAAGTTTAAATAATAAAGTAGACTGCATCTGTGGTGTCACTACACCCACTAGTAACATTTCTCGACCCAAAAGGAGTTGACTAATGGCAGCAGATGTGACTTTACCATTAAATAATGGCACAATGTGACAGATTCAATAATCTTCACTGTAATAAAACACAGAACTGCCATCCTAGTCTTCCAGAAAATGCAAGTTCTGGAGAAACTAAGTACATTTGTTCCCATCTTCCATTTTACAGGTCCTGGGGTAATATAAAGAGCTGCACGGAGCACTGCAGTTCAGTAATGACAAGGAACACCAAGGACTCAACTGCGTGCTTTTAAAACATGGAATATGCTCAAACTCTTTTATTTAAATACATAATTTCCTCTTGATAGGCATTTTTTTTCTTGTGCTCCAGTAGCTTTGCACAAGGCAGGAGGACAATCCAGCCAGGAAGAGGTAATGTAACCTGCACCAAATGGAGGATCTAAATTAAAGTGCACCTTTCTAAACGAAAGAGTACAGCATACAAAGCATAATTTCCATCCTACTACACACACATCAGTGTTTATTTACCAAACCGTACAGAATGAACAGACTTTTCTGCCTCTTCATATTACAGTTCCAACTAGACTCACAGTTGCATACAACTAGTTCTTCCAGTACTTACTACTTTGTGCTACCAACAGTTTTACTTACAGCGCCTCATTGTGAAATTTACCTTTTTTTTTATACCATACAATTAGCAAGCCATTTTGTTGCAAAGCACATGTTAACAAACAAAAACTTTGTTTGGAGCTGAAACCACCACTCTAACATTAATGGTTTAAGGGGGCCAATAGACCAGGCTGGTGGAAAAGCTCTCCAGTTTCACTATTAGACAGAAGTTAGTCTGAGTTCGCTGTGAACAAAAATGACATATATGCTATTTGTGCTATTTGCATAAGCATTTCTTCATTAGACACTGCTCATTACAGTGTTTCAAAGGATGTGATTGCTCCTAACAGGGGCAATGACTTGTCCAGTCAACAACACAGAACAACTACTTCAGACACTGGTAAGAATTTATCATAAACACAGCATTAGACTGAATTAAGTTCTGAGCTGACTACCTGTAGGAAAAATCAAAGGCAATGTTCAGATCTCTGAAATGGAGTTCACTACAAGTGGAACAAGACTGATGAGAAAAGTAGTTTTTTGTACTCATACAAGCATGCACACAGACACACACACACACACACTCTTCTGCTAGCTGGACCTCAAAGGAAACCGATCCATCTTAGATCTCCAGATTATCTAATTCTAGCAGAATTCACGGTAATCTTACTTTTCAGAAAAGCTTTCTAAAGAAGTTCAAGGAAATTTATGTGTGCTCCATGTAAGGTAACTTCCACAGACATTTATGGCATCCTGCTCAACTGCTATGTGGGATTTCTTTTTTTAGTTTTCTTTTTTAACCTAATCACCCTTCTGAACTGTTGGCTGTGCATGCTCACATGTAGTAATCAGCAGCATTCAGCTCTCTAGGGAAGTGCTCTCACATACAAAGAAAAGGATACTTGCTCAGAGACAGCTTATTTGAAAAGCAAAGTCCTGACTTAGAAGTATGGTGTGAAGGGTATAGAGAGCCAGAAGCAGAAGAGAGGACGAAGGCAGATGGACCCACAGTGCTAAGGGCAGAAAACCTGAAACCAGGGATCTGCAAGGGCCTGTGCTGTTTTCTCCTTGTCCTTATGCTAAGCAGGAAACTGCAAAGCAGGGCAAGAAGAAAACACCCCTCTGTGGTAAAATTCGGACTGGACCATCAGAAGATGACAGTTACCCCCCTGCACTCTTGCATTAATACAGCCAGCATGTGACAAAATACAAGAACTGTTTGACAACTGTGGAAAATTCATTGATCCTTATGGATCACAAATATGAACCTTTGTGTTTTTCTGGTTTTAATAAAAGAAATATCTGTTTCTGAAAGATGATGGTCTCATAACCAGGAAAATCAAACTCTCCCCCTCTTTCTCTCCTTCTGCCTGAGAACAAAGTAATTGATAAAAAAGTCCTGAAAGCTTGAGACACATAACCATTTTGTTACCTGTCCTGGAGAACAGAACAGGGGGAGGAATACTTCATACTTCAGCATTTGGGGTTATTTAAACTATGATAAACACTATACAGTCCTTCAACATGCAGTCAACTGTTTCTATTTTAGTTTAGAAAAAAAAAGTCTGATGTTTTCATTCAAACCTAATTATAATGACCTTTGTACCTCTGCAGCTTTTTTAACCTGTACCTCTATATTTGAAGATGACATAAATTTATGCTGGTCCTGTTAAAATTACCTATAGAGGAATATAAAGCAGGCAGTAGAAGACACCATTTAGTTCAAACATACAATGGGAAACAAATGTTTCCCTTTTTTGCCTGCTTTCCAAACATGCACAATAATCAGGGCAGACATAATGATCATTATATAAAGCTGCCTTTATAAAAAACGTATATTCTAGTAGATTGTTTGGTTTATTATAGTGTTTATTCAATAGTGAGCTCATCATGAGTTCAGTTTTAAAAAGACTCTAGGATTTTACAACACTGAATCCAATCAATATTTCCTGCAGTTTTTACTAACACACAAAGCTACCTACATTTTTTGCAGTCCTTAGGTTGTTTGCCTCTCTGGTGCTGAAGTAATCCACCCATTTTAGCCAAAAAACAAACAAATTAAAAGATTGACAACATCCTGGCAGAGTCCTTCCAAACAACTCTCTGTCAGCAACAAAACCAAATCAAGTTCAATTAACTCTATTATGGACTAAGTACCTACATCTTATAAAACTGAACCCAAAACTTAAATAACAAAGAAAATCAACTAATAAATCTAGCAATTACTACATTATTAATTCCTTTGGCTAGAAGATACCCAAAACAAAAGATAACAGGTATTAGGCTGACTTTTAATACAAAATCCTTTCCTTGTTGACCAAGTCACCTTATCCCTTCCAAGTGCAGAATATATTCAAACAGTGGCTCATACAAATGAAGCAATGTCTTCTACAATTAACTGGTAATGCCTTTACCCCCTTCCTTCATTTCCCATTTCTAATGACTCTGCTCTCTCCCTCCGTGCTCCCTGCTGGAGTACATGATGGTGTGTCATGCCCCTGCACAGCACCACAAAACAAGACATGGAAAACTCTAGTTTTTCATAGTTTAGAGATGAGATTTGTCACCTCAATATTCTTGCCCAAAACCTGCATCTGACTGCTAGGAAAAGACATCAGCACAAACAACAATCCTACACCGTACACCCAGGCAGAGCTTCCATCAACCAGATGAGAGAGAAGAGAGCATCAGATGCAGGCAGATCAATTCTAGCCTTCACTGTTTCATCCAACATCTTGGGCACACCACTGAAACCTTCCTGCCCAGTTACCCATCTGCAAAGTGAAAATAATATCTAGAAATTGCAAGTGTGAATTTTAAATCCTGCAGGAATAGAAAAATAATCATCAGGAACTAATCTTGCAACAAATTTACCAAACGCCGTGATGTGTTCTGCATCACTCAGGAATCTTTGTTTGATCTGGATTAAATATTTCTATAAGCATAAGCTTTATTTCTGCTATAGGTTTGGAATTTGCAACATATTAATTAATTTTGACCCTACAGCAACTTGATTAAAAGCTAAATGAGATCACCACTCCCAGCTCTGATTTTGAAAGCACATAGCAACATTTAAGGCCAAACAAGGCATAATACTCATTCGGCCCATCTTTAAAATAATTTCATTGAATTTCTGTGCACAATATGTATTTCACTCTATCACATTCTAATAAGTACTTATACCAAAATTGAAATCCCAAATGATAGAAAAATTGTCACTGAGCACTAGTGAGTTTCTCACTTCTTATGATGCACAGCAAACTCTCTATGTGTCTGCAGCATTCCTAATCCAGTCAAACCATGACAGAAGGAAGAAATATCAGTATCAACTAGGTTAGCACTAGCATGGCAATGCTTCACTTCCTACACCCATCAAAATCATCCTGGATATATTATTAGTAGAACCCCACATTCCTCTCCAGAGTGCCTTTGCTGTTCTTGTTAGCCATTCCAGTACAACCTGCAGTTCCCAGACTGCAGAATGTTAAACCCAAAACCCTGGGAGAGCTGTTTAACACACCAGATGTTTGTGCTGCCGTTCAGAGGGACCTGGGCAGGCTGGAGCACTGGACACACAGGAATCACATGAAGGTCAATAAAATGTACAGCCAAGAATTACACAGTGATGCTTGTAACAAAACTGGAGTATTTAGCAGATTTTTATTATCATTGACTGAAGTTTCTTTTCTTCCATTCTTTACAGGTGTCACCAGACATTTTACCCATACCTGTGGGATCAAGAACTATCTAGTAGCAACCCCTAGCTGTCCATTTATATTGCCTTCAATTGCAGTTGTCTCCTCAGCTGCACCAACATGCAGAACTGACTCTCCAGGCAAAACAGCTGTTGCTGCTTCCTCTCACCAAATGCTTTTAGCCTAGACAGGTCCTGCCCAGTCAGCCAGAAAAATCATCTGAAGTGTCATATCATAGCATGAGATATTGTTCTGTGCTCTTCGACATTCC